ATCGACCGCACGGCGGCCGACAATGCGACGATCAACTACAACGCCAAGGACAAGGGCGGTGTTGTCGCCATCCTCTTTGGCCTCGCGACGATCTCATACATCATTGCCGACGTCCCGGCAGACGCTTTGGTCGTCGAGTACGCCCAACGCGAGCCCATCGCGACGCGAGGCCGCATGCAGTCGCTGGTTTACACCACACGCACGGTCTGCACGACGATCTCGACGGCGATCGCTGGCTTTTGCATGAACTCGCCCCGTTTCGCTGGCTCGTATTCTTGGGACTTTGGCGTGCACACTATGTACATCATTCTTTGCATTCCCTGCGTCGTCATGATTCCGGTCACGGTCCTCTTCATCAAGGACCACAAGCACCAAGCCGCCCCGTTCTCCGAGTACCTCGCGCAGGTGTGGCAGCTCGTCCAGAAGCGCGCCATGTGGCAGATCATGCTCTTCAACTTCTTCTACAATCTTCTCGGTGGTGGTTTCTCGTCGACGGCGGCACCGTACGTCCAGCTGCACTGGGCCAAGGTCCAGAACCTCAACAGCCAGATCATGACGATCGTCTCCAACCTCATCTTTGCTTGCATTGTTGCGTCCATCGGTCGCTGGGGCACCAACTGGAACTGGCGCATCGTCATCGTCTCGACTACCTTGTCGACGGCCTGCATCGATGCCATCGTGCAGTACTGCACCATCTTTGACGTGCTTCGGAGCCAGTGGTTCTACCTCGGAGTGCCGTTGGCCGAGCAGCTGCCCCAAGGCGTCCTCTTCATCGTCACGACGTTCATGATTGTCGAGCTCGCCGGTATTGGTAACGAAGGCATGATCTATGGCCTCCTCACAACGGTCACCAACCTCCCGGCGGCCGTCGGCCCGGTTCTCTCCAACTTGATTTACCGCAACTTTGACGTCGACGAGGACGCGATCATCTCGGACACCAAGCACGTGCGCAACCAGGTCGCGTACACGTACGTCATCTACTACTCGTGCTTTGTGCTGGCGTGCGCTACGTCCATCTTCCTCCCAAAGCAAAAGGCCCAGCTCCACGAACTCCAGCGCAACGGCGGCCGGTTTCCCATCATTGGCGGCGGCGTCCTCGTCTTCTGCTTAAGCATGCTCGTCTACTCGATCACGTGCAGCATCCTCTCCATGTTCGAGTCGACGTCGTGCCTCATGATCGCCGGTGGCAACGGTTGCTAGTAGCTCCTTGAAGTAGCAATAGAATTGTCTTGATTTTTGTTCGTTTCAGGAGCCATGTTTGAAGTTTAGCCTTGAGAGTTGGAGGGCAGATAGCCGACTTTGGACGCTCCATATGATCAGCGATTTTAGCCCAAGAGAATCGCAGCAACGCTCAGGCAGAGCACGGCAGCGCTCAGGGCCGCGATTCGGAACGCGTACGTCGGCTTGCGCTCCGTGGGCGAGGGCGGCCGGTCAAAGTGCAACGGGATAAAGTGCTCCTTCCGGAAGCCCAGCGTGTTGCGCAAGTGCTCGTTTTCCATCGCGAGGCAGCTCCACATGGTGCGGCGCATCGGCTCCATGAAGAGCGTAATCGGCTGCACATCCAGGAGAAGCGTGCCGAAGAACCCGACGTCGGGCGGGATCAGCGCCAGCGTCCACGAGAAGCTAAGGACGAGGTTCACGACAATGGCCACTAGACGTAGAGTGTCGATAGCCTCTAGTTCTATGAGGCAATCGAGCGATACCGTAGTAGACCCACCGGCGTGAGTACATGTGTCCGTCACCCAGGAATTGGTATTTCGGCCGAAGAAGACCCCAGTCCATGACCACTTCCCACAACCAGTTGTACACAGAGCTGCAAACAAATAGACAGACCCACACCACCTACGCATACCTCAAATAGTACTCTCGAGTGCACGTCCAAGCTCAAACCTGCAGCGAGTTGCTCGGCGCTAGCGGCGAGTAGTACGAGTGGAAGAGTCCAAACAAGATCACGAGCTGCGCCAGCGCATACTTGAGCGCGTTCGGGAGACCCGGAAACCACGA